GGGTGCTGCGTTGGGATGATGTGTGGCCTCCGAGTTGTGGGCAGCTGCTGGTTGAAGAAGTTGCTCACTGTGGCAGTGATCTATTTGCCCCTGGAAGGCCCAGCTGTCACATTCCACGCTGCTCACCCAGCCAGAGGCAAGTCTTGGCCTTTGCATTCCTAAAAGAACACTTGACCCAGTGAGGACATAATATCCACTTATGCTGCAAAAAGTGTCAGTAGAACAGAAAACAGGCTGCTTTGTGCTTGGGAAAAAAAATAGCATAAAGTAACTCCAGGTGCCAGCAGGTAGGCAGGAGCAACTGGGCTGTCTGATAATGCAGCTCGCATTTTTAAAGGCTTGTCAGTTACAAGGTCTGACATATAGTTGGTAGAAGAGATGTCCTTGTAAACTGACATTTAAAAACCTCCAGCTGGCAGTTCTTTGTCTTGAAGGAGATGAACTAATATGATTAAAGGAGCAATAGGTGACCGAAGAAGAAAAGACTTTAGATCAGCATAAAGAGGGCAGAAGATGCGCATTTTGCTTAGGATCCTTGAAATTCAGACAATTCATCTTTTTTGTTTTTTACCTTGTGACTGCAGACAAGTACAGTCCCTTTTTCCCATTGTGTAACTGTTGTTTTTTATCAGTAGTGTTTTAAACATGGCATCCACCTGGGATTGCATTTAAAAAATTTTTTTTTTAAATATTTATTCATTTATGCGTGCAAGAACTGGGGTGTAGGCCAGAGGTGTGGGTTGTGAGAGGATTCACCAGAGAGAGTGGGGAGCAGAACAGGCAGATCTACTGAAACACACTGCTGAGGGGAGCAGCAGGCGAGACAGGAGAGGTCTGCTGCGCCATGTGGGTAGCTCCCTGGCTAGCTGAGGATTGAACTTGTGCTGTAGTGGCTGACGGTAGCTTAATAGCACTGTCTTTAACCCCTGTGCCACCACGGAGGCCCCAGCTGGGGCTGTATTAAATAGTTTAATAGGCTCAAGTGAATTTGCTTTTTAAAAAAAAAAAATACCAGTTACATTTAATTAATTACCCCTTAAATTAAGCTCTAAATCTATAAAGTTATCAGAGAGAGACATAACTGGTTATCTGAAAGGATGAAAGTTTATAGTCGGACATCCTCATGGTAAATATATTGCTCCAGCTATCCGGAGAGAAATTACATAAAGACCTGCTGTTCTGGGGGCACAAAGTGGGTTTGCAGCCTGTGGGCAAGACTTCAGGTCTGTTTGCCAGGCTGAACAGATGCAAAAGAACACCTTCCCCCAATTTCTGCCAAAAGGCAGATGATAAAAGTCTCACCAAAAGCAGTTTTAACAGTGACAGTGAACTCCAGAAAGAGACATTCCCGAGTGCAGGAATAAAGAGAGGGCGAGGCCCAAGGCAGGGAAGGTGCATGACGGAGGCCGGGTGGACTCTCGGACATCCCAGGTGCAGGCTGCGGGGGAGTCCTCAGCAGGGCTGGTGGCTGCTGGGAGGTAAACCCCACAGAAAGCCTATATCTATGAAGGTTCCCTCCATGAAACTGGCCAGGCCAAACTCCTGCAGTGGCCAGTTGAAGCACCACGGAAGCTTGCCTCCTGCCAGCAGCTGCAAGAGAAAGAAGTGACTTGTTTCTCCCCCGTGAACCTTGAGCGCACGAGCCAGTGCAAACGCACATGGCAGTTCACAGTCACGGCACCAGCTCCGTGCAAGACAGGCAGGTAGCCGCTGCGCCCGATTCCTTGGAAAATGGTCCCTTTTAATGATGGCCGCACAGAGGAAGAGATGAAGGAGAACAAGCACTTCAGCAGAAGGAGGGAGCAGAAGGGACAGGCAGGTTTGAAAAAAGAATCAAATAGAAATTCTCAAGCAGAAAATAGCGCGGAATTGTATGAACGCTAGTGTGTTGACTGAAAACTGTGAGGAATGGCTAGTGTTTAGTAGGGTTTCGGGACGCTGTTCTCTTAGCGAGAGAGGATGCTTTCAGCCCCAGTTAGAAAAACACTTATCCTATGCATGGCCCCGCGTGTCAAGCTTGCAGACTGAAACTGGAGCTGCAACTGGGATACAGGTTTTAATACAAGGGAGTCTTTTCTGACCTGCTCTTCTGCTTATATGGAGACTTTGGCTCTGCTTTTCTTTCTTTCTTTTTTTTTTTTAAAGATTTATTTATTTATTTATACAAGCACTGGGTACAGTCAGAAGCATGAGAGGATGGGAGAATTCACCAGAGCCAGAGCGGGGAACAGAACAGGCAGACTGATGAAGTGCACTGCTGAGGGGAGCAGCAGGTGTGGCAGGAGAGGTCTGCATTCCATGTGGGACCCTCGCTGGCAGCCGGGGATTGTACGGGCGCTGCAGAGGCTGCAGGCAGCTTCGCATCCCAGCGCTCAATCCCTGTGCCACCATGGGAGGCCCAGCTCTGCTTTTCTAGTACAGCAGATGCTCACTGACCTCCCCTCCCCCACTTAAAACATTTCCCTCTTCTTCTGTCCCTGGGCTCGCCTCCTGCCCACCTCACTTTATGAGTGCCTGGCTGGGTGAAGGGCATGTGTGGCCTGCAGCCTGGGACCTCGGTGAGCTGATCGGCCTGCAGTGACTGACCCATTTTCAAGGCTCTCTGCTGACGTAGACTAACCAGCACTGTACTCCCGCTAGCCTGGACTTGAGGAAATACACTGTGCAGCTATTTTTCCTTTTTTGAAATCTTTGAAAGAAATGTTTTTCTCACTGCCCATTTATATGATAACAGGACGGACTAAAACGTTAGTGTTTGGTCATTGGTCGTTTAATGAATGGCTAGCTTTTTGCCTCTTCCTTGTGAATTAGTAGGAACTTTCTTGTTTCTTGCTTACTTAGTATGTTGCTTCAGGTACCAACTAGCCCTGGAGACATACCTCTTGTACTGTTTAATTATCTGAGAAGGTTTGGACACTCTGTCTCTTTATCTGTTTTACACACACCCTCCTTTAAATGATTTAAAATTAAAGTGTCTCCAAAGGGACTGTGGTGATGGGTACTGTGGTGGTGGGAGAACCACCACCCCAAATACAAACATTGTGAGAAGGTAAAATAAAATAAAATAAAACAAAGTATCTCTTCACAAAACCATTTATTAAAGACAGAAAACTTAGTGCCTCCATTACACAAATGGCTTCTCTTCTTTTTTTTTTTTAAGATTTATTTATTTATTTATTTATTTATTTATTTATTTATTTATTTATTTATTTATTTATTTATTTATACAAGCACTGGGTACAGTCAGAAGCACGGGAGGGTGAGAGAATTCACCAGAGCCAGAGTGGGGAACAGAACAGGCAGACTGACGAAATACACTGCTGAGGGGAGCAGCGGGAGGCAGGAGAGGTCTGTGCGCCATGTGGGACCCTTGCCTGGTAGCCGGGGATCGAAGCTGCGCTGCAGAGTCTGCGGGCAGCTTCGCAACCCAGCGCTCAACTGCTGCGCCACCTGGGAGGTCCCCAAATGGCTTCTCTTTTACTCATCTTAGGTGCCCCCCCGTCTGAGCTCCCAGCAGTCTGTGGGCCCTCTGTATTGGGAAATTGATCCTGTGTGTATAGTTTTCATTCATTCTTGATTCTGAACTCGTTCAGGGCTGTGTTTCTGTTTTTATCACTCCTCAACACATGGTAGGTGTTTGTGAAGGAAATGAATAAAAGCGCAAAAGAACCAGGTTGTCTGGTACCATTTTGTTACACCCCAGTGGCCCTCAGGAGACTTTGCTTAGCCCCACTTCAGATATTTTTGATCTTGGACTAAAGCTATAGGCATGTAGTCATTGAGATTAGAACACCGAGAAACCCGTTGGCATGTTCAGGAGCTAAGCAATGTACAAAAATAGGAGCTGAACCGAGGACAATAACAAGGTAGAGGATAATTGGGTGAGTCTAGTTAATTTCATGAATGTCTCTCTACTCTGTCATGGGTCTGCGGGGGAAGTTGTTGAACAGAAAACTACCTCAGACAGGTATGCGTTTCCTCTTCCTCTTCTGCTGTGCTGTAAGGGGAATTTTCCATCCTCTTCTTAGAGTGCAGTGACTACAGGGTGCTGAAAAAAACAAGGAAGGATCAGCCACATAAAACTTTATATTCCTAAAGTGTGGCTATTTAGGGGATAATAGATTGTCCTACTGTTAAATTGCAGATGGAAAGAAAGAGTAGGTTTATAAGGAAAGAGAAATTAAAAGTAAGTTGAAAGTCTTCCTAGGACTCAGGGGACAGCTCAGACTGCAGTTGGAACGAAACAGGGTAAGTAAGAGAAATGTTTGAACAGAAATATGACGGGGTTCTCGAAGTCTAGCGACATCTTTTGTGAAAACTTGAGATGGCTTCCCAGAGGTTATTAGCTTAGTATTCTCATGATACAGTTTGTCCTTCATGTACCTTCTGGTCTATTTGAAATAAGGCTCAGCATATTAATTCCTAATTTGTTTTCTATAAAACCCCGTTCCCCCAAAATAACTTCATTCATAGTAAAATCATTCTCAAGGACAGAAATGTCAAAAGACCTTTTGACTGTATTTCTACATTGGGAATTCTTTTCCCATGGTCCTTCTGTATCATAACTTGTGTGACTGGCCACGGGGTCGTATTTCATTTTTAATAATAGAGCATTTTGCCTGTTTGAAATATTCATTGCAAACCAGTATAAATGTTTTTACCATATTTCATTTGAAATGTGATAGGAATTTAGTATTCATTTTTATTGCAACCACCATGAAAACCATTCACATAAAATATTGCCAATAATTTCTTTCACAATGCAGAGTAAAAATTACAGAATCAAATATAGTTTGGGATACAAGAAGTTAAACACATTTGAACTCTTACCAGGAAAAAAGGTTATAGTAAATGACAGAGAATTAGTGCAAGTTAGTTGGTTTTGCTGTTGTAGCTTAGTTTAGTTGTGAAGCACATATAGATAGTCTTCTGTAAACATACTTTGGTGAAGTTACACCAGTAACTGAGTCGGAATGACCTCTCTTCTTTCCCCATACCAGGTTGTTGGTGTTGCCCAGGCCATCAATAAGAAATCCGGAAACGGTGGGACATTCACTGAAAAAGATGAAAAGGTACCAAAGCATGTGTCTGATGAGAAGTACATCTGGGTAGATGCTTTGTCTGTAGAGTGTGGAGACTACTAGAATTAATTGTTGCAAAAATGGCTGATCTAAAAAGATGATTTTTTGTTTGAAAATGAACTGAATGATGCAAAAATGACTCTTTGCTATGGTTGAATCCAGACCTGGCTCCCTTTCAGAGAACCAGTGGTGTGGAATCAGCGGAAAAGCCTCGCCCACCCCCCCCACCCCTACTGCCCCTCAGGGTGCGTCCACCACGCTGCGTGCACCTGCGGCCCCTGCTGCTGGATGGCCTGTATTAGAACTATCTCATTTACCTGTCCACCCTGCTCTAGAGAAATACTACCTGGACCGAAGTCCTGCTCCAACCTTAGTAGTCGGCTAAATATTGAAATCGCTTCTTGGTGCAGCAAATTTCAGAATGTTGTATAAGCGTTGTACACAGACAGTGGGGCATCAAGGTGCGAGTGCAGGCTGGGTGATGTGAGTTCAGCTCTGGAAAGAGCTGGGTCAGTGCAATTACTCTTCCTCTCACACAGTAGAAGCACCACGTCAACATGCTTAGTTGGCATTTAAGGATGACAACCCTGAAATTGATTTACAACTTCATTCTGTCGGTTTTCTTATTTGTCTTACTGAATATGTAATTATTTGTGTATCAAGGGGCCCACTGAATTTTACCTATTCATGTACAAGGCTATTTGTCGCTTCCCTGAAAATTAGTAGGTGCTTTTAAATTTGGAAGCCATTCAAACAAGATAGTTATTTTTCTTTCCATCCCAAATGCTGGATTGGCACCTGTGTTGGACCCCACGTATTAGCAGTGTCACAGACAACAGGTGTCCTGATGATGACACCTGAGAATCTGTGCTGGGGTCATGGGTCTGTGTTCTGTTATGGAACACCTAATGGAAAGGTTGGTCATTTTAGGCTGTCCCAGCTCTTGGCAAAAATAAATCAACGATTGTGATAGCGTGTCCTGTAAAGATTGATTTTAATTGATAATTGTGACCCTATCACCATGGTGTAGTGTAATAATGATAGACTCATGTTAAAAGCACATATTGAATCATTCCTTGGCTTTATGCTGGATAAATGCCTATGCCTTTGGCTTTCTAATACTTATTTACACTGTAAATATTTTTGAATGTCTTTTGTGACTTGGGTAATGTAATAAGGCATTTTGTAGACAATTCTTATTTGGCTTGTTTCCTAGGATTTTGCTGCTTATTTGGCATTTTGTGGTATTGTTCTCCATAATGCTCAGCTCTATGAGACTTCACTGCTGGAGAACAAGAGAAATCAGGTAAGTGTGTTACTAAAAAGAACCTCGGCATTCTTTTTTCCATTGTGAATTTTTATCCAAGCAATATGGGCACGTGATTAAAAATTCAGATAGTACAAATGTTTGTACTAAAAATTCAGATAGCTCAGTGTTTTAACTGTTCTAATAGTTATTTTCATAACCTATTTTCCATATTCTGTTGCTTTAGCATTGTTACACAATTTTAATTGTCAGGCAAGAATTTATTTCACTTACACCACCTTTCCTGCCATATTACCCTTATCTGCCAGTATCTCCGTGTGATGATGAATTGCAACTGTAATGTCAGTATTTTAGGTTTGCTCTGTCCACTAGAGACATCATCTCCTCATTACAGGCTTTATGAGAGGAGCATCTTGGCATACCTCATCTCTTTCCTAACTACTCCTCACCTCTGCTTTTTTCATCTCTCTACCCACGTTGATAACATATATGTGGACAAATGATAACATATACATGTACATACACATGTATTTCTACAACCATCACTAACTTAAACTTTGCATAGGTCAATTTTAAAGTAACAACTGTAAATGTTGCCCGTACTATCTTCCTGTATGTGACTTTTCCTTGATGCCTCTTTTTCTTGCTCGCTTTGTTTTAAAAGCATTGTATTAGCTTTTATTGAGGTAGCATAGGCTGGCCTCACCCTTAACTCAAATACAGTGTCATTTCTGGGTCTTTGAACTGAGCAATAGCAGCAGATACCAGGGAAGCAGGCACCACCTGCCTCCACAGAAATGATTGCTGAAGTTAGTTCTTCGAGCAGACTCTTGGGCAAGTTGCAGACTTTCTAGAGAGCTAACACCATTTTAGCTTGGATAGAAATGTAGAACTGTACTATGTATTTTGAAGATATGTGCATACTCTTTTTTTTAATTGCATTATCTTTTATTGAGGTAACATTGGTTTACAGCACTGTACAATGTAGGAGCAAAGGTTTATACCTCTTCAGGTATACATGTACCTCTTCAGGTGCATGTTTCCACGCCACACCCACCACCCAGGCACCCATAATTCTACACCACCATCCATTTGGCCCCCTCCTGGCCATCTCTGTCCCCTCCTTGTCCTCTGGTAGCCTCATTCCACTGTCATTTTTCTAGGATTTGTTTGGTTTAGCTTTGTGTGTTTTAGTTCCTTGACGTGTCTTGGGTCCTAGCATATTTTCCTTGCACTGTTAGTTCCAGTCGTCTAACCTTAATTTGTTGGTTTCCCCAAACCCCCTTTATTAGGCATTGCCTCTTCCAACCTTAATTTTATTCCCTTGCCGTGTCCTTGTTATGCTAGAACTCACCATGAAGCCCATGTCATGGAGTGTTTTGACTGTGTTTTCCTCTATTTTATGGTTTCAAATCTTCTATCCAAATCTATTTTTCATTTTGAGTTTAATTTTTTTTATATGGTGGGAGATAGTGATCTAATGTCATCATTTGCATGTGCTGCTCCAGTTTTGCCAGCATCATTTGTTGAAGATGCTTTCTTTTTACAGTGTATACTTTTGGAACCTTTGACCCTTTAACTGTTCATAGGTGTGTGGGTTTATTTCTGACTCGCAATTCCTTTCCTTTGGTCTGGGTGTTTGTTTTTAATTCTAATACCATACTGCTTTGTAGTACTGTTTGACATCTGGGAGTGTCATACTTTCATCTTGTTTTTATCAGGATTGCTTTGGCACTTCAGGGGACTTTGGTGGTGCCATATGAATTTTAGTAATGTTTGCTCTAATTCTTTGAAGAATGTCTTTGAAAAATTGATAAGGATTGAATTGAATCTGTTTATTGCTTTGGGTAAGATGACCGTGTTAACAATGTTAATTCTTCCAACTCAGGAGCAGGACTCCCTTTCCATTTCTGTGTCTTCTGTTTCTTTGAACAGTGTTTCAGTTTTCATTGCACACATTAGTCACCTTTTTGTTAAACTTATTTGTAGGTACCTAGTACTTTTTGATCTAATTGTGAATGGGATTATTTTCTTGAATTTTTTTCTTCTAGTTTGAAAATACGAACACAATTGACTTTTGTAAATTGATTTGTGTAACCTGCCACTTGACTGATTTATTGTTTCAATTAATTTTTTAATGGAGTCTTTTGGGATTTCTGTGTATATTATGTCATCTGCAAACAGTGATAATTTTGCTGCGTCTTTCCTAACTTAGATTCCTTTTACCTGGTTGCTCTGGCTAGGGCTTCAAACACTATGTTTAAAAGCAGTGATGAAAATGGAAATCCTTGATATTAGAGGAAAATCTTCAGTTTCTCACCATTTTGTATGATGTAGACTGTGTGTCTGTCATATTTGGTCTTTATTATGTTTAGGTATATTCCTTCTATTCCCATTTTTTGAGGATTTTTATCATAAATGGATGTTGAATCTTGTCAAATGCTTTTTCTGCATTTATTGATATGACCAGAGCAGAATCAGAATCCCCTTTCTTAGTTTTTTGGAAGACATTGAAAAGAACAGGTATTAGTTCGTCTTTAACTGTTTGGTAGAACTCACTAGTGAAACTGTCTTTTTTGGGGCTTTTGATTTTTGGTAGAATTTGATTATTGTTTCCTTTTCCTTGCTTTTAATTGGTCTGTTTAGATTTTCTATTTCCTTCTGATTGTGTCTTAAAATTATATTTCTCAGAATTTTTTTATTCTAGGTTATTCAATTTATTGGCATGTAGATATGCATAGTAGTCTCATGATTTTTTCTTAAATTTTGTAGTAACGTCTCATTCATTTCTAATTCTATTATTACTTGGATTCTAGTATCCTAAGATTTAAGGTTAGGTTATTTATTTGAACTGTTTCTTGATGCAGGCCTGTATTGCTATATGCGTGTGTCTTACCTGTTTTAGCTGCATGCCATAGGTTTGATAACTCATATCTTCATTTTCATTTATCTCCAGGTATTTTTTAGTTTCTTCTTTGATTTCCTCATCAACTCATCAGAAATTCAGTAGCATGTAGCTCCTGTCTCTGCATGTAGTATGACTCTTGTTCATCATGATGTACTTGTCCAGTGACTTAAATTCCTTCATTTTTGTTATTCTTTATTATTATTTCTTTGACCATCTTCCCACACCCTCTACTTTCTTTCTAGAACTTGTGTTTGTAAGTTACTGGACTTTCCATTGCCTGTAGGTGAGACATTCTCCAGACTGTTCTCCATGTGCTATTCTCAACTCACATTGACCCTGCCCTGCTTCCCTGAACACAACTATGGTCTTGTCCCTTTATTCCTGACTCGTCACAGTGTAAACTGCTTCAGAAGACACACAAGGCATTTTGTTCTGTATAACTCTACAATCTCATCTCCCCAGTTCTACTCTTCACACACTGTGATCAAAGTATGCTGCTTTCTCTCAAATTCTGGTACACTAAATATTTCCCTTTTCCACATAACTAGAATGATTCCTACAGATTTTTAAGATCTCATAAAGAACAGTAACACCTCTAGTAAACATTCTGTAATACTTTTCCTCACTCTTCATCACAGGAAGGCTTTGTGTGATTAGAAGAAATTCTTTAGGATTCAGTGGAAAGAGAAAGAACTAGAAGCAACACAAAAGAACTTGTTAAAGGAACTCTTCAAGCTTCTTTTACTTGGGACAGAATCTGCTGTGCTCTGTGAAAATGGTGATAACATTAACAAATGTCGATCTCCGAAGTTTGGAACATTAGCAAAAATAATGCATTTTATGTGTTAGAGACTGTTCAAAAATGCTTTATAAACGTTAATTTATTTAGTCCTCACAATAGCCTACTGATTTTGGTGCTGCTGTTTGTCCTATTTTCAAGAAATTTGCCCTAGATCCCAGCTAGCAGGAAGGGAAAGTAGGATTAAAAAGTGATGACTCTGGTTTTAGGGTCTGTGATTGCAAGCCCTGTACTGATAAGCGACAGGTGTTTTCTTAGTAAGCAGAGATGTGCATATATGAAATGCTTGGATGTAAAGCTCATGGATTACAGTGTAAAAGTTCCTGGATTAATAATTATGACTATGAACTGATCATGTCTAAATATTTTTGTCTAGGTGCTGCTCGACCTTGCTAGCTTAATTTTTGAAGAACAGCAATCATTAGAAGTGATCCTAAAGAAAATAGCTGCCACTATTATCTCATTCATGCAGGTGCAGAAATGCACCATCTTCATAGTGGATGAAGACTGCTCCGTGAGTACAGAGTATGCCTTTTTTATTTTTAGAAAGACAAACGTTTATTCCTTGAAGCTCAGCTTTTACCGTCTCTCAAACCCAGCTGGATGTGGTGGTTTATGAAAAGCCAAGTATGAGCAGTGCTGGTGGAAGAGGGATGGAGGGTAAAGATGCCATGGGTACTCCTTGTCTTTCACCATTGTGCCCTCCACCAGTCGTCACCAAGGCCAAGTCCCTGTGCTCCTTTACCTATGGGCACACTACCATGAGGGAGAAATACATCATCACATTCAAATACAAGAATTTCCTTTTATTAGTAATTGTTTAGAGACCAAAGGGACTAACCCAATAAAGATAGTGTGACTGAAGTTTTCCTGGACGTCGTTAAAACCTTCACCAGTAGTAGAAAATGACCAAGCTGTTCTGCTGGTAGATTTAAATCCACTGACTTGCAATGTAAGGAAGCACGTGAGTGAGGAACAGAGTGGCGTGTTCTCAGAGAAGGCTGGCCGCTGCTAGACAGGCCAGCTGAGTTTGCTGTTGGGTTTAGGACTCTGACCTACGTCCCTCTTTCTTTAAGTGGTTCCTTTCATGCTCCACCAATGAACCATGCTTTTGGGATACTGGTTTTTGACATAGTTGTTTATTTTCTTATTTCTTTTAGACCCTAAGAATAGGTCCTTAATTGGTGGGTTAACAAAGAGTGCAGGGATTACTGCTTGTGTCTAGGTCAGTTACAACTCACACATGAGATCTGAATTGAGGTTTTTTAGGGAATAGATTTGTAGAAGATAATTTAGTGCTAAACTATACATTAAAAATTTAATTGTTTTAGATATTGTATCATGTAACTCAGCATGATCTGAAATAATTTTGTGTGTCTGTGTGTAAATTCTAAGACAGTGAATGTGAATTCATAATGCTGTAGGATTATCAATATTCTCATAGAATGTTCCTTCATATTTTCATGTTAATGTAGGGATGATAAGATAATAGCTATCCTTTTAAAGTTCAGGTCAGAACTCGTTAATGCAACATGTCAATTTATCACTTTTGCTCTGTGACCTGATCTTTAGCATTTAATATTTGAAAGTTATATGTAAGGTATTCCTTTTTTTAGTCATCTTAAATGTCACTTTCATTAATATTCAGTTTGTCTTTATACCAGTTAAAACCCATCATGGTAGCAATTGATTTGGGTCAGTGATGACTTAAAGTATAACCTGGCAGTATATATGTTAATCTAGTTTTCTTTTTTGAACTTGATTTGTTGGATTTAGGAATTAAGTGACTTGGTCATTTATAATTATTTGTTGGTGAAAAATGCATCAACATGAGCAAAAATCCAATTGAAAGCAAGAAAAAAAGTTCTCTATTTCCCCAGATTAAGCTAATATCACTGTTTTAATTGTTGCCTTACAATTTTTTCAGTGTGAATATATATTCTGCTTTTCATGTAATTTCAAAACTCTTTCTCTTGCGAAAGTCTTCACAGTTCTTTCAATGATCTCACAAAATAGTACTGAAGCATGTGTTTTATAAATGAGCTGACAATAGCAGGGCATGCATAAAAGCTAAAAACTTGAGCCTTTTGAAGAAATAGATATTTTGAAGCTAACATACTCATTAGTACCTGATGGAAAAACTAAAACCAATTCAGCATTTTTACAAGTGGTTATTAGAAACCATAAGAACATGGTTTTTAATAATGGGAAGCAGGTTTGAGGATGAAATGAAATGGACACTTGGACTAGTTTAGTCTGAGACTAAATTAAAATAGCGTAAGTGTAAGTGTCGCTACCTTGTCAAACGTCAGTCTGTTGTTGTTCCTCTTTCAGGATTCTTTCTCCAGCGTGTTTCACATGGAGTATGAGGAATTAGAGAAATCATCAGATACTTTAACAAGGTAAACTGATGTGCTCTCTGCCTTTCTCCCAAATGTATAGTGCTGGTTGCCGAGTTATTTCATGACCTGTGTAATCAGGACCAGATAAGACTATCGGCCAACCTCCCCTGCCCCCCCGCCCCCAATAATTTCATTTTTGTGAAAATACTTTCTTTTTTTATGATTTAAGTAATTTATTTGTATATATTTAACATCATTTTTTTACAATGTTTGCCTTTTTTAAAATATATTTCTTATATCATTTTTGCACAATGTATGCACTTTCATCTTGGTTATATTCTCCATACAGTTGCACTCCCCTTATTTTGACCCCAATCCCTCCTCTCCCCGCCCCCACCGATAGTGTGTCTCTGGTTTATAAGGGTTGCTTGTTGATTTTGCTTGTTGCTTGTTGATTTTGATTTTTTCTTCATTATAGTGATTCTTTTTCCTGGTCCCTTATTTAAGTTTTCTAAATTCCTGCTATGAGTGAGACCATCCGGTATTTTTCTTTTTCTTTTTGGCTTACTTCAGTGAGCATGATGCCTTCCAGCGCCATCCATGTTGCTGCAAATTGCATGTGTTTATCTTTTTTGATTGCGGAGTAATATTCCTTGGTGTATATATACCACATCTTCTTGATCCAGTCATCTATTTTTGGGCATTTGGGTTGTTTCCATAGCTTAGCTATTGTAAACAGTGCTGCTATAAACATTGGGGTGCAGGTGCCCTTTTGAATTAATGTTTCTTTGTCAGAAAATACTTTCATTTTGATGTTAAAGCTCCAGGGTGTTTCACAACCGTTGCCATTTAGGGGATTCTTTCACACAGTGTTAAGATGAGTATGGGCCTGGGATGGTATTTTTTGGCAACTGACTCAAAGGCCTGCATGTGCTAGTTTCAATTATATGTTTTCATTGCCTATTGGAACTTCACTGGAAACTTGATAAGCTTATGAATACAACCCTCTGTGATTCTGTTTTGTTATGGAACCATCCATGGGCAGGTACCTCACATGGGAAGGAAGCCTGTGCACAGAGGCCCTGTGGCTGCAATCGGATCAGAGCAACACTGCAGTTCTTTCATCATTATGCTAAATTTTGTATTCATTTTGTTGTTGTTTGTCACTCAGAAACAATCTAAAGTATTTATCTGATGGAGGTTTTGCATATTACTGCTCCAGTTTTATGTACTTCCTGAAGATTTCTGAAAAGGATTTAGAGTAAACTACCAAAGGGTCTTTTCTCATGCTCCTCTTGTCACTCTTAACCCAAAACTGATGGTGTTTGCATAAGTGACAGGGTCTCCTAAGGACTGTAATCTGCTAGGGTGAAGCATCAGGGATTCTTGGGTACAGCGTTGTTTACCACATTATTCCTAGTTCATCTGTTTCAAATTATTCTATTCTTAATTACGGATGTTATGACTCATCTTACGACACTCTATTTCATATAATGCCTCATAGATCGTGGGAATAGAATATGATCTTGACTACTTGATATTAAAGTTCTAAAATATAGTCACCATATTTGAACTATCAGGATTCTTTCATGTAGTGAATCATCAGTACAACTGTCAGTCATTTTAAGCATCTTGGTTGTGATGCTTTAAAAATAACCTCTGTGTAAATCTAGGCTATAGAACATTGCACAAGGTAACTGGCATGGTTTCTTCAAGAATTCAGTGTTGTTGCATTAAAGAGAGGAAAGGAATGTTATTGTATGTGTGATACATGAATCTTCATCCTGGTTCAAGCAAAACAAAACATATCAAACACATAGTGAAAACAAGTGGAAATTTGAATGTGAACTGAATAATAGATGGTAATGGGAAATTATTGTTACTTTTCTTTGGAAAATGAGATGCTGTCATGAGTCAGCAAATCCTTTATAAACTTCTTAATATATGATCAACTATAAGGAATTGGCTAAATGTTCGTTTTTAGGAGAGTCATGCTAATATATTGAAGGATTAAGTGTTGTAATGTCTGCAGTTTCCTTTAAAGTGGTTCAACGAAAGACACAAAAATAAATCAAAATTTCCTATCTTTAAATAAATATATTTACAGATAGATGTATAGATAAGAAAATGGGGCAAAATATTAATCATTGTTGTATCTGGGAGGACGATATTCATTTTACTTTCAACTATATTTCAAATTTTTGGTACATTTGGAAGATTCAAGTTTTTGGTACATCCATCATAAAAAATTGGAAAAAAATAAAAAAGAATTGGAAGAAAATGCATGTCATAAAAACTTGGCAACAAAAAAAAATGAAAATTGTATCTTCAGCTCATGCAAACTAGAACTGCCTGCGTTTGCAGCTGCAAGAACATAATATCCCAGTGGACAGTCTGGTCTGGTTCTGACCCCCTTACACTGACATCAGGGCTGAAGGCTGAGAAGCTGCCCTCGCTCTCTGTACCCAACCCTTTCTTCTTCCTTCATCCCTGTCCTCACATTTCCTGTCTTGTCACACCTTCTACCATCAAGGTGAGGCAATGGTTGATGCAGTGACTTGATGCTATTCATTTCTTAGGTGACTGTATCTAAATCAAAACTCAGTATTTCTAGACTATCATTTTATCAATATGATGCCATGAAAGATTGTGTCTCCTGCAACAAGTGTTTAGGAATTAGCCAAGGGGCAGGAAGCAAGTTGGAATTCTTGGGCTCAGAATGCTCCCCCCTGAGTTAGGCTTTCACTGCCAGCGAAGGCACCTCAACCCGAAGGTTTTTCTGTCCGGCTGGAGGCTCTGTTTCACATATTAAAACTGTGTAGCTGGCCTTTGTTTCCCTCTTGACCTTGCTGATAGGAGATAGTCTGTTCTTTCCTAAGCCCTGTGCTGTTGTGTTTCCTGGCTTATTTGACATTATTGTAGTTTGCCTGCATTCCTATCGCAGTGAGTGATAATGTGTGTGTGTCCTCCGGGGTATGTATGTATTCCCTGAACTGCACTGCCTAGCTCAGCTGTGAAGTGTCTATTCTTAGGAGGTGCACTTACCTATTTCCCTTTGATTTTAGATGCTTTGATACTTTACTTTTCAGAAGCCATTTGCTCAATTCTAAATAAGATAACATGTGATGTCTTGATTGTTTCCACTTTTTGACTTGGATAAATAATGAATTGCTATATGTAGAAGCATAAATATATACATGTCTATATATTTACAGTCTTAGTTATAGAATAGTAGGAAAAATGGTATGCTAATTCATATTGAAAAGTATAAATTGAGTCATCTTCATCAGCCTTTGTGAATTTATATTTTATGTTTTGTCATTTTTATTTCAAATTAATCCAGAACCTCTAAATTCTAGTGATAGCTGAATAAACCCAGTGACTTGGTATCATAGTGACCTCTATTGGTGAATATACACTAAAAAAAAAAAAAAAGAAGTCTGGATATTTTGTTTCTGATGAATAACAAGGTCCCTCTCTGTAGGCTTAATGGATAGTATCATTCCATGTATGGCTTTTAATCACCACAACACAGTTGTGGTATAAAGACCTTTTTTAAATAAAGGATTAATACATCGATGTGGATACTATAAGAGATTAATTTATAATCCCTTATAAATTAATATAATTTCACACTGATGACTAGTGTCAGCTAAACTTTCCAAATTTACCTTCATTCTAATGCTGCAATAAATGACTTGTTAGTACTGTAAATAGGTTTTCTGTGTATTAAAATTAGCTATCAGGCATAATTCTGCAAAATCTCTGGATTAAAATAGTGTTTTAATACCTTTGGTACTGCTTCAGGGCTAACCTAACACTGTTTATTAATAGAATTCAGGACCTTCCAATTATTACTACATATTTTCGCCAATGCAAACATTCTCCGACGAGATGAGAAACTAGGCAGTTTGATGGTGTGAGCTGCTAGCAAGTCATTCCTTTTGAGCAACTGTTTATCATTGAAAAGCATGTCTCCTTTGGGAGTCTTCCAAGCAACCCACTGTCTTTCATAAATTAAAATAACATACTGAAGACAGTCTTAAATGTTAAATGTAAACTTAAAAAATATGGAGGGTGAATGTTTCACATAATTATTAGCATAATCACGTCACCGTTGGGATCAAGCACAGTTAAAATGTGGGGAGTGAGGTTACCCAAGAATTTCAGAAGGGAAGCTCATTTCCAGATGATGGTGGATTTTAAAATTTCTTGCTTCAATTCAAAAAGTCACCCAATTGGGATAATGAGTGTGCCACTGTACAGGTTATGTAAATTTTAAGAAATGGATACTTTGGTGTTAAAATTCCATGTTAGTCAACTTTGTGAATTTGTAGATGCACATCAATCTCTATAGTTAAGTGACAGATGTGTGGACTTAATCCTTTAAACTTACTTTCTTGGCATATATACTAGCTAATGTTATTGATACTAGAAAGCGTAACAGTAGTTACATATTGTCATACCCACTACCTTAAAAAATAGTAAGACTTTCATTCCTTTCAGAAATTGAATACAGAATAGAAGAATGTAGACTCTGAAATCAGACTACTAAAATTTAAATTTCACCGCTTAATGGCTTTAGGACTTTGCATAAATCACTTAATTGCAAAGCCCCCGTGTGTTTATCTATGAAATGGAGACGCTGATGTAGATTATAGTCAGGATTCAGTGAGACAATACACATAAAATACTTCAGGAAATTTCTGGCACAAAATCAGTACTGAGTAAATGTGAGCCTTTTTTCTAGGTGTCTTCCCTGTGTTTTGCTGATTTAGGTTCCCACTTAGTTACGAAATTGCTCCGTGTTTGTGTGTTCCATGTTGCTGTCTTCCCAGGGATGAATTCCTCCACAGCTCAGTTAACAGCCCCAATATCAGATGGTCTAGATATGTCTGAGTTAATCCAGATCCCCCAAGATGCAGATGCCAAGACTGGATTAAATGCACAAGAAATATAATAGGGCAAAGCCCCTGGACAAGGAAAGAGGGTTGGAGCTGCGAGAGGCTAGGAGAAGCTTCAGGCCAGCAGGAGAGGAGAAAAGAGAGAAGGGAGGGTGTGTGGAATGCTTGGACAACCAGGTAGTTCCAAGGAAAGTTCAGCAAGGGTGTTGGAGTCCTAACAGGAGATTTTGGCTGGAGAAGAATCCTCGATCTCCCAGGGAGGGACCTGCCTCAGTTTCTCTGAAGTTCCTAGTCTTGCTCCAGGGACACTGTGGCAGGCTTGTGCATGTGGACACAGAGTTCCAGATCAGCCCCACAGACAGTGGTCACTTCAGCTTCCTAGAGTTGGCCCAGTGAGAGGCGCCTCGGCAAGGCTACCATAACCTTAGAGAATGAGATCCATCTTCTTTACCCTGCTGCACTTTTGAAATCATCCATCTGTGTCTTCCAGCCTCGCATCTTCAGCCTGAAGCCAGCACTTTGTTCCCAACAATCTGTAACTATTTCACATTTCCTAAATGTACGTGGAACTCCTACATCTCAGCAATGGCTTTGTCACTGGGTATTTCTTCCCCTGCCTGGAATACCCTCTCTCCACTTCCTGACGGCTGTCTTTGCATCCTTAATTCTCACCCAGCCTTTTACACATTCCCTGGATGCTACTTCTTCCACACCCATTCCATTTAGGTGTTACTTGTCCTCATGTGTGTGGTGCTTATCTTACTGGCATTGACATACTCGGGACCAGGGTTATACACAAATCATCATAACCCCAGATGAAAACTTATGCAAGAGTTCAGTGCTGTTATTGTCTCCTGTGAAGGTGCGGTGGTCACAGCCCGGGGTCAGTGCTGAGATTCAGATCTGCAGAGGCCGCGGACCCAGGGACCTACAGCCTGTCTACTCTGCGTATCTAGGGCTCCCTGCTTCCCTTCAGATTTAGGAATGCAGCTCCACCCACCATAACCTTGTTTCGGATGGTGGAATGGTGGGCAGAACAAGCAGGAGCAGGGAGTGACCAGCTGTCTGTTAGATGAGGTTTCCGGAAGCTGTCACATTTCCTGTTACATGCAGTTGTCCAGAACTCAGTTGCATGGATATGCCCAGCCAAGTAAGGTGACGAAGAAATGGAGTCTTCATTATGTGCCCAGGTGGAGAGAAGGGAGAAGAGTTTTGGGGGGATGTTTGCAGCCTCTGCATTTGGTGCTAGCCAAACCATACATCCAGTAAATGTGGTGATGCGGGTTCTGTGTCACGTGTCTTCACTGGACTGTATGCTCCTTCTCACAGCTGCTAACTTACGTGTTTGTCCCCATGGAACCCTAGGGTGCCTCTCAGGGAACCAGGTGTACTCAAGTGCAGGAACAAAGACTATCAGCATTTCTTATATAGGGTAAAAATAATAAGACGGTCCTGCATAACTTTATTCAGTCATTGTTCACCGAAGTCACCATCAGGAAAATTCCTATTAAATTTAATTCCTAATTAGGAATTAAAAAAATTAGGTTTCTGTTTAATAGCCATTTTAGTACTTCTCGTCTATTTTATCGTAGGTTTAAATTTGTGATGTCTGACAAGTTGCCCAACTATTTTGGGCTTCATCTGGCTTCCCTTGTTAACATTAATGATGATGACACAAGTAATAAGTCATCATGATCATCATTTAAAAAGGGTATCTTCTCCAGTGAATTTCTGTCCTTACCTTTTCATTTTTCAAAAATCTTGGCTATAGCTCCTTGTTTGTTCCTGAGACTTGCTATCTGTGACACATTTATGTTTTAAAATCATTTCATTAACTTAAGTCTTAACATTTATGTCATGGTCTTTTCTTGGATAGCCACCCAGATAATATGTCTGGAACAGGAAGCCAACAGTGTCCTAGGTCTGAGGGGTGTGATATTTTACCCACCTCCCCAAGGTACAGTCTAGTCCCAGTAAGTTTACAGGCTGAAGTTCATCTGCTCCCGTGTTGACACTCACCTTTCCTCCTCCTCCTTTATCTTTAAATGTCACACTATATGTGGAGTAGGGACAGGATTTCATACGCTGTAACCACAGCCTTAGAAACCACTCTCCCAAGAAGCAGTTGAGAAGCAGCTTGGGTGAGAAAAGATAGGAAAGATACTAGAAATTTAAGACCTCAGAACAAGTGGACATTTTTTCCTCAGATTTTGTCCCCATATTTTGTCCCCATTTCCAGGGAACATAGGACGTTTTCCTGATGAGAAGATCTGTATCTGTTTTGTTTTCTGAATCCCAGCACTGGTATTAATTATGGGCTTTCTGACATCAGATAAATCTTTTATGTTTAACCTATTAAGTAAAAATGTAAGGAGAAAGAGACTGGGGAATGTAATTTCAAAAAAATTTGAAGATAAATTTTTAATTAGAAAGTATAAAGGATTTCAAGGAGAGAAAGGACTTAATGAAATTCTTCTTGACCTGCTTGATTTTTGCCCTTGCCTTGAGGTATGTGAAAGATTGTTGAATTGGGATGGATAGAAGAAATAATTGAGGAAGTAAAACAGGCATTAGATCTTAGTCTTCGTAATCTCAAAATCCAATGAGAAAATAAAACACGGGGGAGAGTAATTCATAAGGATTTTACAACAACTAGAACAAAAATCAAAATGCCCATCAATAATGGCAATAAGATTACTTCAGACATTCAAACACTTGCTTTAGTCGAACACTTGTGGATCTCTGTCTTCTCAAAACATTTCAGTTATCATAACTACCAAAGTTGTGAATCATCAGTACAACTAAAGGCGATTGTCCAGTTAAGGTTTGCCCTTGGCCCTCTTGTCATCTGAGACTGGTAAGATTCAATTGTAATCATTTAACTCCACCTATTTTATTTGCACTGCACAGAAAGAACTCATGTCTCTTATTTCCACAGGGAACGTGATGCCAGCAGAATCAATTACATGTATGCGCAGTACGTCAAAAACACTATGGAACCACTTAATATCCCAGATGTCAGTAAGGACCAAAGATTTCCCTGGACAGTAAGTTATCCAATTTTAGACTTGGAGCTTAAAAGCTGCTTTCCCATCAGATCAGCACTTACAGTGACTCCTCAGCCAAAAGGCCGGCCTTGGAATTGCCTATTTAGGAGACTTCCTAGTTGTCCTTAAGATCACAGCGGAGCATAAAATCCCTCATAACATCTAATGAAAGGTGGTCAGTTATTGAATATGGAAGTAGTGTAGCTATTAACTCCTTGGTGTCAGTGGCTTTGATCCCCAGAAATGAAGTTCCATCTGTCTTGAACTTGCATAATTAGTAATTTACCCCAGGGGGTATCTGATTTCCTTGACAGCAAAGCAGCAAAGATCATTTTCTCAACAGTCAAAAACTTTGAAATCGAGAGCTCCCTCATATCTTTAGAAAAGCATTGCTCTTTGAGGGAACTGCCTTGATTTTGTAATTTGCACATCTGGAAGATCTTTCTAGAATATCACCAGTATGGTCAGTAGAAACTAAAAAAGGACAGGATTGTAACTCAGTTTCCTAGGTCCTGTAAGAATTTGTAATTCTACTCTTTTTAGGTTCTTTGAGGCATCTACACAGATACAGTAGGTGCTGAATAAGGGCGTTAATATTACTATAATCTGGAAAGTTTAAAAAGGGAAGCAAAGAAAGGTTATAGATTTTAATCATGTAAAGACTAATTGCTTTTTATTACATTCATGTGATCTTCATTATACTCTGTACATTTTCTGCACTCTGATGTTATCTCGAGCTAATAAAACATGACTGTATTAGAGGTTTCAGATGCACAATAGATTTTTCATAGCAGCTAATGGGCAAATCAGTCTTCATAATTTTTAGCTGTTTTATTTTTGTTTTTGTTTAGAATGAGAACACAGGAAGTGTTAACCAGCAGTGCATTAGAAGTTTGCTTTGTACACCTATAAAGAATGGAAAGAAGAATAAAGTGATAGGTAAGGGCTTTTCATTAACCCCTTCTTTATGCTTATTAAAGAAAAACAAAGTATTACCAGAAACTTCTTGTTCTGTAGTGTAAATTTAACGAATAGTGTGTGCAAAAAGATAAAAATTGAAATAAGAGAATTTTGTGATATATTTATATTGGTGATGTCAGCAGACTTTTATTAAATACCTTGTGTTATTGTAATTATCATCATCCTTTTTCAACAGAATTTTTGTTTAGGGATGTGTTGAAAGTAGACTGAGACATTAAGTTGATAATGCATATTGCTTTAAAGACGCTTTCTGGTTTTTGATTTTTGTTTTTTGATTACGTGATTGAGGGTGGAGGTTGCATTCATTCAAAAATATTTACTGAGGATCTCACCACTACAGGCTGTTGGAGTAAATTAGTGAAGAAAATCCATACCCTCAGGGAGATTACATTCTTAAATGAAGATTATAATGTCCTTCTGATTTATTTCCCTGAGCATAATCCCTTCCAGCTCCATCCATGTTGCCACAAATGGCAGGAGTTTATCTTTTTTGATCACTGAGTAGTGTAGCTACCACCCCGATCTCTAACATAAGCTGTGAATGAAACAATATGATACCAGTAAATGCTCTTATAAAAATTTATGTCCTGGGGAGTTCAAGGTGAACACTACATTGCAATTGTCATGCTTTTAAAAAAATGCTTTTTGATCTCAGTGTTTTAAAGACTTACTGTGAGCTGTCTTTGACCTTTCCACATGTGGTCTCAATCCCAGCATAGGTGCGTTATTTACTGGAAAGTTTGCATGAGAGCTAGAGGCAGCTTGACACTTAAAAATGGAAGCTTCCTTTCTCCTCAGTAGCATCTCTTTGGAATAATAAAATTAATGGACAGTGGAGAGAGGCTTTGTCGTACATCGGGCTTTGCCTGTCGCAAATGTGAGGTGGTTTTCAAAGTGTATCAAGAAGCCCCAGATGGGGAAATGCCTCACAGCAGCCCTTTGGCTTCATTCTTCCTTTATAGGGTCACTATTTCCCTGTGTGGAAGTGACCTAAATACCCTTTCAGATCTCTTCAGAATTCATGTTATGTTGCTGTCACTGTTGCAGATGTGAGCAAAAAGAAAAAGAAAAAAAACAGAAATAATCAGACCTCTTTAGCATACATTTTATGTCACCCTACTTGATAACAGAGCTTAAGTAAGCCAATGTTTTTGGAGAGTACAAATAAATAAAAAGATTTTCCCATTGGAAATTTTTTTTGGGGGGGAGGGGTGGCCTCCACTTGAATCCAAGGCTCAGAGGGAAAATTTCCAGTGTTCCTGCTGTTTTCTAAGTGTGTCAAAATGGGGAATTTGAATTCCTGACTATTTACCCACAGATGCAGCCTGGAAAAATTAGGGTTGTAGATAATTTTTCTTCGATGTCACAGACCAGATTCTGCTGTTATGTAATTCTAGTATAGAATCCCCACTGAGTTACATGCAGAAAGAAAGACAGATGGGCCCATGTGTTTTTTGTAATTTTCCTTCTCCCTCATTTTTTTCCATTACTGACATTTAGATGAAATTATAGACATTAGACCGGTACGGAGCCTGTTGTATCAGCAAATTTATCCCCCACGGTGTCATTTCATATCAGATGTTTTCCTAAAGCTCTGACCTAATGCAGAGAGCTTCCAACACGTTGCTTCCAGCACAATTGAGGGGAAATATTTTTCTCATTTAACATTCATTTATTTTAACCTATTATTCCCCCTATTTATTAGGTTGAATGTGTCTCCCATATCATATTTACCAGAGACTCTTAGGGTGCTATTTCCCATACCAATTTCGGGACAGATTTTGAACAAATGAGTCCCATTCCCATCCAGACAAATAAAAATCCGTGAGAACATCTCCACTTTAAGAAGAGATATTTCCGTTGTCCATGACACAAACTGCTTTATCCTGCTTAATGTCCGTATGTTTTCCAGTTCAAGAATTAGAAATTATGCTGACTTACAATAAGTGCCAGTAAATAAAATCGTAAGGGCAGTAATATTTGGAAGGACAGGAGGAAAAAACTTAGAAATTATACCTTAACATCATAAAAGTCAATGTCTACAAAATAAAGGATTGCATTTTTAAGAACTAATTGAAGAAATAGGAAATTAAAGAAAACTTCAAAATAGTATTGGGAAACTGTTATTGACCCAGAAACTCTGAGGAATTTCTGGAAGAAATATTTGTCAGTACACATTTTAACAAAATGGCAAAATTTGAATAATGATGGTAACAAGGTATAATTTAAGGAACAATAGTGTAAAGCATCACTGTGCATTGATTTCATTTAAAATCCACTGAGGCAAGTGTGGGAGTCATAAATGCTTCTAATAGCCTGTATAACATCAGTGCACTACTCTTAGATGGGTGAAGTACAGGAACATATAAGAAAACATTAGAGCTGATAGTGAAACATGAAATGTATACAGTTTACTTTTAAAGCTCATAATTTAAAAAATAATAGTAACCATCAGAAACAGCATTTTAGAAAATTACTGGTTATATCAATATAAAATTTCAAGGCATCTGGTCAAAGCTTCACTTATCTTTACAACTTCGTAAATCTTTCAATGTTGAAAATATTTGAAATAAATGTTCAACTGAAGAAAGGAGTAAACCAGCCTTTAACCTATAGTCTTTCCCAAACAACTAGTGAATAGGAAGAAAGCAAAGAAATTGAAAACTTAAATTTCTGAAATGGAAAGGGTAAGACAAGATAATGCCAGCCTAGAAATAAACCTCCAGTGTAGGCAATGAGGGTAATAAGAGATACACGGATCGTGCTGTCTGATCCCCACCTGGGCCACCCATCTTGTGCTGCTCAGATCCTCGGAGGCTTCACCCGTGGTCTTGGTGCCACATGGGTGTAGGTTTGTCCTTCCGCATTGAACAGATTCCTGGTGCTGGTCCCTTGGCTGCACTATCAGTGTCTGATCCCAGCTTTTTGGCTCACTGGACTAGGACTAGGACTAGGAAAAGAAATTGAGTTACAGAGCAGAAGACATTTTAAAAGATGTCGCGTAACACAAAATATGTCTTCCTTAGGTTTGGGAAGTTCTAAGCTATTGTGTTGTTTTTTTTTTTAAGATTTATTTATGAATATAAGAACTGGGGTGTAGGCCAGAGGTGCAGGTGTGGGGAAGGGTGAGAAGAGTAACAAGAGACATAGTAGGGAGCAAAACGGGCAGATCTACTGAAATACACTGCTGAGGGGAGCAGCAGGTGAGTCAGAAGAGTTCTGCCGCACCGTGTGGGTAGCTCCCTGTGTGGGGGATCGAACCCGTGCTGCAGTGCCTGCAGACGGCTTCATAGTGCTGAGACGGAACCCCTTGCGCCACCAGGGAGGCCCACTACTAATTTTTGTGAGTGGGTTTCCTAAGCTCTTCCCTCTTTCCACCTTCTGGAATGAACAGTATTCTTCCGTGTCCTCATAGTCTGTTATTTCTCATATTTCTCCCTCCCCCCTCAGATTTCCGAGCACCATTAGTTACATAATTTTGCATACTTTTTTCCTCATCGTTTCTTCACGTTTCATGCAATCTTATTTTCTTTTACCACTTGAGTCATCTCTACCGTTGGAAGTTTGCTTTCTCAAAGTCTTCTCCCAGCTTAGCTCTACTCAGGGTGCTTTCCACATGTGTTGTCATCCGGTGCCCGTTTCTGTGTCACTTTGCCGTATCTTCACTCACTTCGGTGAGGAATTCTCTGTCCCGACATCTCTTTTCTGAAAGCCCACACCTGCCTTTCTGTCTAGTTGCCCTGCTAGTGTCACAGGGGGGTCCCCAGGAAAGGGGGAGGTTTCAGGTTCCCTGCCCCACCCAAATGGAGGGTGGAGCTGAGCAGGGAGAGGAGAAGCTGACGAGGAAACTGAGGAAAAAAGCAGGATGGAGATCCAGAAGGAGACCTGGAGGAGGCGCATGGAGCCGAGAGACACGTGAAGAAACTGCGCTTGCCTTTTGGTCGTGGACTGGGTGACACAGATGTGGGTGAGGCCCGTGGGGAGGTGACCATGGCAGCTTTTATCTTGATGTTGCTTTTGCTCTTTTCCTTCCAGGCTTGTCTGGTTGTTTCTGACCCTTTTCTGGGGGTCCCCACTGGAAGATGCTTTAGACTTGGGGCAGGCTTTGGGGCCTTGCTCTGGGCCGATCCCATTTGGATGGACTTTTACCCACGAGGGGACGGGTCACTTTGGGTGCTTGATTTAGAAACTAGATTCTTTGCCTTTCCTGTGTTGTTTCCTAGTTGTATTAAAGTTCCTTCCCACTAAAGTCTCACATGTTTTGTGTTGATGCGGCGGATGGCAGAACCCATTTAGAGCAGGCAGGTTTGCGGGGTCTGGGCTGCCCCTCTCCCTGCCCTGGAACACTGGGACTTCACTGAGCTCCTCACAGCCCTTCTGCAGTCTGTCCATCGGGGCCTCGGCGGTTGTGTCCTGTGTGTAGTGCTGGGCTTCGCTTCTCCTCAGCCCGTCCAGCTTGTGTTCAGATGCCCCTGGCTTCACAGGCACCTCGTTGGCTTATTTGCTTTTTTCCCAGCCGAGGGCTGTGTCTTTGATTTTGCTTAGCTTTTTCATTGACTTGGCAGCGGGCGAGGGAGGATGAGGGACGGGGCTCCAAAGTCTTGGTGGAGACGCAGGGCTGTTGCAGGTGGTGAGTTTCACACAGCTGCTTCTCCCCCATTTCCCAGAACAAGCGCTGCTCCCTGCATCACAGAGCCCAAATTCCAGGGCCCCCCTCCCTGGCCCACTGCTGCCTCTGTGGTGCGAGCAGATCTTGCTCTCTGACCCTCCAGCTGGGCCACCCACATCGCCGTGCTCGGATCCTCAGAGGCTGCACCGTGGTCCTGGTGCTGCGTGGGTGTAGGTTTGTCCTTGCGCATTGAACAGATTCCCGGTGCTGGTTTCTTGGCTGCACTATCAGGGTCTGATCCCGGCTTTTTGGCTCACTGGATGGCCACCTCGCTAGCTGCAGCTGCCTGTGCGCACCCCCACCCCCCCGTTTCATCCCCACATCACCAGCCACCTCCAAGCTAAATACCCACAGCCAGGCCACCATCGCCAGCAATGCACTGGTGAATTTCCTGTGAGGAAGATTTCCCCACCCTCTAGTTTCAATTAGAGATTTACTAAACCTCCCTAGTCTACTATGTTGTGGATTAAAACAGCTCTTTTTTTTAAACGTGGGTATTTTGATAGAATTTAGTTTTCTGGAAGGTATAAAGAGCTGAGCAGTATTATCATGAATGTTATGTAAGTATGACGGTCCATTCTGCTTGTAAAGGAGAATTAAATTATGAGCCTGAGAGGGTGATTTGTCTCTACCCCTTCACTTGCCCTGGCCTGAACCCTGCTATCTCTGTGGCTGTGCGCGCGCTGGATTGCAGCAGAGACGCACTTGAGTCGTTCTGCTCTGGGCTCTGGTGGTTGCAGGTGAGTCTTGATGTTAGTATACTTAGCATTCCATTTCCATACCTTTCGATCCCAGGGCCACTGATACTCATGATGTATAAATTCAGTGAAATTTGTTGGAAGCTTAGATGTGACCTGCACCCAGGGGAGAGTTTCTGTGAGGTAGGCTAACAGATCCCCTGGTCTCAGCTCCTTTAGGTGGCTCTTCCCCTTCTGTCCTGCCGTCATCCTCATGAAGTGATAAAAACAAAAATCTTGCGTATGAAAAATAGCCACCAAAGCATTGGTAAAAGTGGAAAGGCAGTTACACTGTGATGTGAGGAGGAGGACATGAAACATGTGACTTGCGAGAAAATGTGATTCGGAAGCGAGCCAGAAGCGTACATAAACAATCCCATATTTATAATATGGGAGTCACAAAGGTTGGGGGGCATGACCCTCGTGTTGTTACCATTCATGAGGCGTGTTCTTTTGAGATAACGGATGTCATAGTTTTTACTCACACTGTGTAAAATCACTGTGTCTTGTTTGAAGTTGCTCTCGATAGTGGATATATGCTAGAGACATAACCCCTGCAGAGCTGACCCAGATGGACAGGGGCATGTTTACTGTCCAAAGTAAAAAAGGGGGGTGGGAGGAGAGGAGGGTTTAGGGCCAAAATAAGGGGGGTAACCAAAATGAAAAATGATATAAGAATTATATAAATCACAATATATTAAACATAAAAAAATAAAGTAAAAAAGATGACCACAGACTAAAAAGGATGCAAATATGAGGATATAGATAATTGTAGTGTTGGAAATAAAGTGCACACCAGTAGAGACAAAGAGATGTAGGGTGCAGTCATACATCATTGTGGCCTGTCTGGGAGCCTTTTGCACTGTGGATAAAATAATAAAAACTAGACTCTTTCCGAGGTGGTGATTGGCGTCAGAGCTGCAGCCCTATGTGCTTTCACTACTTCAGTGAACATTTGTGAGTTCCTGCCACATTCCAGCAGCGTACAGCTGAGGATGTGGAACTGAAAAGCATAAAATCTCTAAGTCCAAGATATTTACAGTCTAGAAAGAGACAGAATTGAAATACACCAGGATATAGAAAGTGATATTGTTAAGGGCCTGGGAAGGAGAAGCACCTTCCTCATGCCGGAGGTGGGAGGCCTCTGAAGATCCTCGTGGAGGTGTAGAGAATCGGGATCTTTCATGGGAAACCATGAAAGAGAGCCTGGGAGAGCAGGGCAGGTGGGTGGACAGGCACAGGCAGAGGTGTGCAAAGACAAAGCAAGATGCCACCAGGACAGGCTTGCTGCTGGGATAGAGGCCAAGGTCTGGAGCAGCAGTGTTGGCCCTGAGTGGGCGGGTGCAGGTGACTTCTCTGAGACTGGCTTTCTCCTCTGTAAAGTGGGGACACAACGTCAATTATGAGGACTAGAGTTCATGTCTGCTTTAAATTTACACAGTAGGCCTCCCTTGTGGCACAGGGTGTTAATCTCAGCACTATGAAGCTATTACCAGCCACTGCAGCTTTGAATTTGATACCCACATGGCACAGCAGACCTCTCCTGTCGCACCCACTGCTCCCCTCAGCAGTGTATTTCATCAGTCTGCCTGTTCTGTTCCCCGCTCTGTCTCTGGTGAATCTTCTCCCCCAACCCCCCCGCTTCACCTCTGGCCTGTACCCCAGTTTTTATTTGCATAAATAAATCTTTAAAAAAATGTAAAAACATTAAAATATATGTATACACAGTGCCTGTCCCGCAGCAGGCACGTGATGGAAATCGCTTTTATACTTAGAAGGGACAAGGGCTTTAACAACTCTTTGCTTTATATAGACATAGGAGGTCACCCAGCTCTTCAAAGAGTGACTACTAACTCAGAATCCCATAAAACAACCAGCTCAGTGAAGATTCACCTCAGCATTGATGTCCTCGTCCTTTTTTCCTTTTTTTTTTTTTTTTTTGCAAGGGGGGGTGGCTGGGTGGGCTACATGTTTGATTTTCTAAAAGAGGCCAGGACTTGAGAGATAATGATTTTCTTCAAATAGTAGCTCTGACTTTGTTTCTAAATAAGTAGTTTTTATTTACATCACCAAAAGTTGTGTGTAAATGTGATTTTCCTGGATGCAGAGGCGGATTGTTGAAACTATATAAATTGCCTCTTTTCTACAGTACATTCTACATGTAATTGTTTTGTTTTTTTTTTTTTAGTTTCTGGTTTTTCAATAATGCAGTCTGTGTGACCCAAAATTCTGCTGTACATCAAAATTGTTGACTTGGCAAGTGTACAAAAATCCAATTAGTCTCCAAAGGACAGATTGTCTTTGGGGAATTAACTGACCTAAAAGTTGAGACCAAGTCTGGAAGAAAATAGTACTCTAGGATTTTTTTAACACGGGCCGTCATATATTCAGGAGTATGTGAAAAAGTTTCTCAAGTAAATTAATTCAGTTTGCCTTTCTACTTATAGGGATTCATTTGATTATTTGAAGATGCCAAGCATGTCTAAGAGAGAAGTTTAAGGCAATCTTTGGGGGGGTGTTCAAATCGATAAAAACTGTGATGATGACAACTCTGACTTTCTTGGATCATTATAGGGGTTTGCCAACTTGTTAATAAGATGGAGGAGAATACTGGCAAGGTTAAGCCTTTCAATCGAAACGATGAACAGTTTCTGGAAGCTTTCGTCATCTTCTGTGGCTTGGGCATCCAGAACACGCAGATGTATGAAGCCGTGGAGAGGGCCATGGCTAAGCAGATGGTCACCTTAGAGGTGGGTTACCCTGAGTTTGTCCCAGCTCAGACTGTCCCTCTGTTACGTCCTCATTCCTCGCAAGAATTACGTGACATTAGACACTCAGATGTTCCTTTTCTCAGCTGAGACCCAGAATATTTTACAAATGCTTTAAAAGTCATGAGACCAAACTAGAAGTCAGGCCAGTGCTTGGTGGGCAGAAAGCCACTCTTTGTTATTCACACAGATGTGTTCTGCCACTGCATCCCTTCTGTCTGCCCCTTCCCCTTTACCTGAGGTCCTCTGTCTCACCATGTGAGCAGTTAAAAATCAAAAAAGAAACCCTTTGACTCAGAGGTGAGGAAAAGGAAAAAAAAAAAAGTCTATGAAGAGCAAGAAGAGTTTGGACTACATACTTCAGAATCTCCCAGACCATCACAATTGGAGAGTTTTGAAAATTCTGCTTCAATAAGTCCTTGGTGGAGGCTGAGAACCTGGATTGTTACAAAGCTGCCCTGGGGATTCTGAATGTGTAGGCAGCTGGTAGAGCCTGGCTTGGTCACTGGCCTCAGGTAGGCACCCCCCAGGCTCCCCGCCCCCAGCTAGGACTAACTTACCCAGATGGGCCAGGCCCACTCCAGAGGGTTTTCACTCACTGCTTGAAAATACTCACTTCATATAACACGAAACTTGCTTATATCAGAGACCAGTTTAGGGAAATCGACTTTAAAAAGGACAAATGTGTCTCAGCCAGTGACGGATGCATTGGTAGTCTGGTGTAAAACGTACGTAAACCTCGGTGTATTCTTACTTAGTTGAGCCCAGAGGTAATCAGTGTTTTGGATACGATAACTTTGCTCTCAAGCCCTGTCAGATACATACCTAACCTAAAGAGCAGAAAGATAGACATTATCTGTCAAGGTTTGCCATGACCAAGATGGTACACTGTACTGTTTAAGGAAATTGCTACGGCATGATGTAAAATAAAAGACTTCGAGTTTACGTACCAGTGGAAACCACCACTTTTCACAGACGTCTGTTATTGTTACTGTATAAAACGTAGGTTTTGTCTGTCAGTTTTGTTTTCTGTCAAAAAAATACTTTAAAAAATCATTAAATTATAAACTGTACACCTGAAAACTATACAGTGTTATACACTAATGTCTTCTCAAAAGAAGAATATAATTGACATTTTAAATCCACCTGTTACCTTGTTTGGAAAGAATATCTAAAATATAAAATGTGTCATCATTTTATCACTTAAATAGGAATGAATTCTCAAGGTCAGTGTTGAGAAGGTAGGAAGCCAGACTTCTTAACTCTAGCAGGGTAACAGCATGTGCTGAAATGAAAGCTGGGTCTGAGGGCCCCTGTTCTCTCCTGGTGTGAGCTCGCAGCTCACCAAGTCAAGAGATGCCCTGTACTGAGTGTCCTCAGCTGTTCCTGGCACATTTCTCTGCCAGCTCCACTCTTCGCAGCTCTTGAACCCTGTAGCATAAAGGGATCCCTGAGTCTGGACAACATTTTATCCTACACGGTTTTCCTCTGTGAATCCTGCAGAGCTGAAAGCCTCTCAGAGCCACTTCTGAAATATTTCCTTCCCAAATACCAACTTTAAAATGTCAGTGTATGCAAAGATTTCTTTCCTAATTCTGTACACAAACAAAATGAAGCATTTAAAAAAAATTCAAAACAAAGTTTCTGCCAATGTTGAGTCAAAGGCAACAGCTTATAAAGAATGTGCTTGTCATATCAACATGCCAGCGTAAAAAAACTTGAGAGCGTTTTGTGAACAGTGTCATTTTTTTTTTCTTCTGAAACAAGCAGTAGAATGTAAATACGGGATTTGATCTCTGTTGAAGAAAAAAACAAACAAGGTTTGATATTCTGAGGGGTGGGTGTGATTCTCCAAGAAGTTTTAGCAGAGCACAGGCTTGGGGTGCTAGTGGGTACTGAGTCCCCTCTCATGATCCTCCCTCTGTTCCTCTGGCAGGTGCTGTCCTACCACGCCTCGGCTGCAGAGGAAGAGACCCAAGAGCTCCAGTCTTTGGCGGTAATTCCCCTCTTTCTTTGTGAAATGACCGCACACCTCTGATGAATAACAGAAACACACTTTTCTCAGGGTACCTGCATCTAGTCGTGGGTCTCTAGACACTTAATCAAATGCGGGGAATACTGAGATGAACTCATACATTTAATCAACTCTACTTATTTGCAGGGCCGGTCACTAATCACATCTGTATCGACAGACATTATATGATTCTGAATGTTTCCAATAATTACCATAATCTTTACATCTTTCTTTGGTCAAAATTAAATTTAGGTTTCCGTTCTTGGTGAAGTGGAGACAGGTGACTTCAGTGTGATTGTTTGGTTAGCCTAACAACAACAGAGAATTTATAGTGTGTTACTGGTAACCTATTCTGCGTTCTTGAGGACAGAGTGGTTTTATTTATTTATTTTTTTAAAGAATTATTTGTTTTCATACAAGAACGGAGGTATAGGCCAGATGTGCAGGAGGGTGAGAGGATTCACCAGAGACAGAGCGGGGAACAGAACAGGCAGACTGATGAAATACACTGCTGAGGGGAGCAGCGGGCGCGGCAGGAGAGGTCTTCTTCGCCGACAGAGTGGTTTTAATTTCAGACCCTATGGCTTATGGAGTGTTCCTTGAAATTGGGTTCAAATAAGGTCAGTTCCTGACATCCCGTTACATTCTTAGTCTCCTGTGAGAAGGCACGTCATTGCTCTAGGTCTGGATAGAGATTGCCTTGGTTGAAATTCATGAAAATCTGAAGCACTTCCCTACACTTGCAACTTAGGTCAGCCTCTCGGTTTACATTAATTTGAGACAACATAGATTGGGTCAGTAATTGACACGTGACAAGAGTCTGGGTCTCATGAAGAGGTTGTGGACATGTCATCGAGAGAGTTTATGTCATTGTCATCATCATTGCATCTTGCCAAATGCTAAGTCCCCTGTAACCTTGCATACATTTTCTCAGGAAAGTACTGTTAGGAGGGTCACACCGAAGCCACAGAAGCCACGTGACTTGCTCAGGGCCACACCAGCAGGAAATGGGTAGCAAGGTGACCTCTAGTGTCCATGTTCATAACCACCGTGTGTTCTGTTATGACCTGTTAAGGGGAGAGATTAAAGATGATTCCACTGTTTTGACCAAATGGCAGTTAGCAAAGGGGAGAGGGGACAGAGGAGTAGATAAATGGGATAAACTGAATCAGGTGTATGGTGAGCTTGGAGAGTAGATTTTTGGTGATGATCATAGCGTTCATACAGATGTAGAATCATAATCTACACTCCTGAAGCCTGTAGAATGTTTTAAGTCAGCATTACTTCACAAACATTTTTCATTAAAGATAATGTTTTGACCTTTGTAATTCCAAGAATGATGATGCCACTAGGTGACAGAAGTGGATCTACTAAGAAGGGAAGGGGACAGGTCTGGCTTAGGACACTGTGTGATTGAGGTGGAAGGAGATGGACGTCACCTGTCAGGAGAGGCCGCTCCACAGGTGCGAGGGGCTGCTGGTTGCAGTGGAGGGGGCATTTGGGCCTTCAATCGTGGATTCTTGGACTATCTGCTGAAATCATGGGACGTGCTCGTCAGGGAGGACAGCCGGCTGAGGCCTAGTCAGTGGCTCAGAGGGCAGCGTGGACCACTGTCAAGAAGGCAGGCAGGACTGGTTGTGGCTATAGGAAGGCTAGGAAGTAGAAGGACTCAGGCAAAGCTGCCGTGATGGGGTGATTGCTCAGAAAGCACTTCAGGAGTGAAACTCCAGAAGGTAAGAGGAAAGGAGTCTAGTCAGCTTTTAAAAATACGGTTCTATTAAGTAGTAGTCATATTAATTTTTAAACATTAGTTTAATGTGAATATTTTAAATGCCTCTTCCATGTAGAAGGGAAAAAGTGGATGGGTGCTAGGTGACTCCTGTGAAGCTTTTTATTGAGTGTTCTGGTCTGTTTTTGTGAGTTGGAGTTGCTCACAAGCTAGAGAGGTAACATGTTCTTGGACAAAGGGTACAAGACTGGAGAGCTCTTGAAATGACCTTGACCAGTAAAGACAAAGTGTGACCTAAACAAAAGGAAAAGAATGATAATAACAGCTTCACTGGTTAAGTATTTGCCTTATACCTTGTCAGCGGCCCAGAAGGCGGCATTTAAAGATTGAAAGTTCTTTGTGTGTGTTCGCTAAGCGTATTTCATCCACAGCAACCTTGTCAGGCCTGTGTTTGTTAGCATTTTGTAAGGTGGAATTGGAATGTTGGAGAGTTCAGGTTGTCCTACTCATGATCTCCCAGGCTGTAAGTGCTGACTGAGAAATAATCAGGCTGTAGTAGAATCTAGAAAGCATTTATTGCAGAGTAGGGCTTGTGACCCCAGGCCACAGACACGACATCATTCCACGGGTTCCACCAGCAAGAATGAAAAGTCAAGCAGGGAAGTGATAGGAGTTTGGGTCACTTGTTTTGATCTGTTTTTTCAGTTCATTTGTGTCTTTTTATAATTGATTGACAAAAGGCTCCAGACACGGGAGGTGGGTGTGTGTGTGTGTGTACACATGTGTGTACACGTGTGTGTACATCCAGCAGTGTGGTTGGTATTTTGTTCTTTCCTAATTGCGGACAGGAGGAAACTGGGAGTTGTTGGGTGCGGCTGTGCTTAGTCCTCACTGAGCTGCTCGCTCAGTTCTCAGCAATGCAGGTGGGAATAAGATGGAGTCTGATTCAAATTCGGCTTCACATGAGTGATGGAGCCAGTAGTAATCCAGGCAGTGTGGACTCAGAGCCCACACGCCATCATACGGCGCTGGGGAGAGCATGTGCCCTGCAAGGGGAGAGGGGACTGAGAGACATTCTCAGTGAAATCCTGGAGTAGGAGACTGAGTCATTTCCGAGAACAGTGTAGGGCGCTTGAGATGATTTCACCTGAAAGGTTAAGTCTCATATCGCCTCGTATAGAATTGTTCATTTTATGTGTCTGTAGTGGCATTTGAAGGAATGAGCGGTATTTGAATTATTTACCCAGACATCAAGATTCCTCAGCCCTCATGGACCCATCTGTCTGTTCCTTCTAGAAGGATCTAGCTTTGAAGTGGATGCATACCATGAATTGGAAATTCTTACGTGGAAAGATAAATTTTGAAGTTCTTGCAGGCCCTGTGGGGTTATTGTTATTTCTAAAACCAGAGCAAGGTTATACTTTGCCATGTGTTGTTTTCGATAAATGAAAACCAGCAAACAGACATTTCTACAGACAATGCTAAATAAAAAACACCAGGCTATTTGTTTTTCACTTTGAAAATAGCATAGATAGTCTTTCAGAAAAACCTGAAAATTCTTTTCTCAATTATGTTTTTAATATTAGCAAGGGAAAATCACTTTGGAATAACTGAAAATTGCTATCTTGCGGTATTGTTCAAAACCATCTGTTGTTCCATTTGGAAAGAGCTTTCTGGCAGCTGCGTGGAGACATTAGGGTTACTTAGCTTGTAGGTCAAGTGATTCATGTAAATTGGTTTGAATTCAGCAATTGATTTCAGCTCTAGTTTGCTGTTGACCTAACACAAATTCCTTCACAGCCCCAGCGACACAGGTGTCTGCATAATCCAGCAATTACCAAAATTGCTTTTTGTCATTTGTCTGATTGTTTATCTCTACTTAAAACCAAAAATAGCTTTAAAAGCTGTCAAATCTTTTCTTCACTTTTATTTTTAAACCTTAATTCTTAAGAGCCTTAAATAATGTCCTTACTCACACTAAATGTTTATGCCTCTGTCCAGAAAAGTTACCCAGTTGTACCGAAGTAATTTAGTTGCTAGAGCTCAAAATTCCTTTCCCCCCATATTTTACATGTGTTTTTTTTTTGTCCAATTCTTCTATTTTCATATTTCTATAAATTGGTTCTTTATTCTCATTTTATCCCCACTACTACCCCTTAGCTTTCATTCTTTCACATTCTTCCCTTTCTCCCTCTTAACCACAGGAAACCTCACACCCTCGATTAGTGTCCATCAGTATTTTGCTCTGTCAAATCATCTGCAAGTATTCTGACTTTCTGTACTACACCCAGTTCCCTCAAATGCCTTCCATGTGGCTGTGTATGGCCACATTCCTCTTTCCCTCCGGCTGGTTAGTCATCCTTGTCCTCTCCTATCCCTGGGCATTCACGTTGTGCCTGTGTCCTGGCTGCTGAAAACATTGTGGACCATACACCCTTTTGGGTTGTTGGTTTCACGTTCTTGGGATTGATGCCCAAGAGTGGGATTGCTGGGTCGTCCAGAATTTATAGTTTCAGTGTCTTAAGGTAAGCCCAGACTGCTTTCCACGATGGCTGTACCCTCTTACATTCCCACCAAAAGTGTAATAGGATTCCTCTTTCTCTGCATCCTCTCCAGCACTTGCTGTTGGGTGGGGGTCTTTTTTTTTTATTTATATTCCCCATACAATTACAACCCCCTGATTTTGACCCCAATCCCTCCTTTCCCTGCCCCGCCCCCAAAGTGTGTCTCTGGTTCATAGTTGTTTGTTGATTTTGATTTTTTTCTTTCTTATAGTTAATCGTTTTCCTGGGCCCTTATTTAGGTTTTCTAGATTCCTGCTATGAGTGAGACCATCCGGTATTTTTCTTTTTCTTTCTGGCTTATTTCGCTGAGCATGATCTGGGTGGGGGTCTTTTTGATATATGCTGATCCCATCGGTGCGAGGGGGTGTCTCACTGTGGTATTGACCTGTGTCTCCGTTATTAAAAGCAGTGACGGACACTTTTCCTGCATCTACTGGCCTTCTGGATATGCTCTTTGGTGAATTGTCTGTTCAGCTCTGCTGCCTATTTATTGTGTCGAGTTTGGTTTTTTTTTATTGTTAAATTGTTAAGTGAAATTTAATTTCTGTATGTCTTGGTTAGTACCTCCTTGTTTGTTGTGTGACGTGTATATTTTCTTCCATTCTGTAGGATCTTTTCAGCCTACTTATATTTTCTTTTACAATAAGTTTTTTTTTCCAATTTGAGGTAATCCCAGTTGTTTAGTTTAT